ACAACCGTGACATTATATGATATGCCTTAAACTGTCGCGCGGACGAAGAAAATAAACAAAATACAATGAAATAAGAACAACAAGGCAAACATGATCATGATGAGAAAAACAAATTATCAGTGCCGGTTGATTTAAAACTTTTTTAGCTTTTTAATAATGGGAAAATAGGAAGAATTTAATGATCCGATAATTCGCTCTGGAAGTTCAAACTAATTCTCGGTTTTTTTTATAAGTAACATTTCCGACGTGAATCTCCTATGATAACACGGTTCATTATATAAAACAATTTCTCAACATTGTGAGCATTTTATTAAAGGCATTTCCACAATTTATTAACAGCAATCCAAATAGAACTGCTATTTTCCGAAATTTCTAGATGTGCTTCGAAGATAAATCTTTGAATATTTTAAATTATTCAGAAACACGTTGGTTAACACGTTACAAATGCATTCAAAGAAAGGCAAATTCGACGGCAGAACATGTGCGAGCGGCGAACGTTTTAGTGATCGCTCCGTGCTGTTCGTAGTCTGCCCCCACGCTCGAAGCTACACGTACACGCTATGACGTAGCGACTACGTCTGTGTTAGTAAGTCCCGCGGTAAGTGGTGGGGGCTCCCATTTCCCACGAACTGGCAGCTCTGATTATAGCTTGTTTTATTTTCCAATAAAGTTAAGATAGCATACTTGGATATCGGTTTGCATTACCTCTGACTGCATTACCGTGGGCTAATCCATACATGAGATGTACGTCTGCCATTTCATTATTTGACCAAACCATACTTTTCACTTAAACGTACTTATATCGTTAATAGTACTAACGTACGATACGAATACCTTACCTTCACTGAACAAGATATGAACCGTATCACTTACAACACAAATAATACGCGTTTATGTTTACAAATTAACAAGACCTTAAGTCCTTTAAATCTTGTACATAAACAGCAAACCGATACCCAAGTATGCTATCTTAACTCTATTGGAAAATAAAACAAGCTATAATTTGAAAACAAGGTCATATCGGACATATGTTTATATGAACTCTTTCTCTTATTTTTGTGTCCTGAATCCCCCATTGCAATACTTCCCACTTTTTAGGATACATCCTGTATACTGTTTATGTGTATGCGTTTATTCAATGGACTGGACTTGTTCCATATTCATATTAAATATATGAAAATGAAACAAGTCCATCCGCTTCGTAAAAGAATTTCCTTTTTATTTGGAACTTACTTTGAAAATCAGGTTTCTGTTAATAAAAATAAAATGTGTTTTAATAAAATAAAATATAGAAGAGGCAATAGGAACCAGCACCGTAAGTCTGGTGCAAATAAATTAAAGTACAATTACTTGATGACCATACAGTGGATGTTTATTTTGATTTATGGTCAATTAAAATAAGAAAATAAAAATAATTAAAAATTAAAAATTAACATTAAAATTTTAAAATTTTAAAAATGGAAGCGGACGTTTCGGCTCTTTTTTTGGCCATCATCAGCGCACGGACTAATAATAGAATTAAAAATAAGAATAAACGGAAACGCAGACCGAATCGCCAATATCTAGTCGGTTAGACGCAAAATGTCAGAAAATCATACGGCAACGATCTCTCACGTCGTCATGATAAATATCCCAAAGCATCGTTGCTGTTGATAGGATAAACAACTCCTCGATTATTCGGTCGAAAGTTAGAAATCCAATCACTTTGCAAGCATGATGGCACGTTACATTTTCAATGATGCCTGCAAGTAATCGGAGCGGTTTTAATGGATGATAATATGAGAAAGCGTAGATGAACAATCTTTAAAGCAACTTACACGTAAGATATTGTTCAGAGCTCATTGCACTAGATAATTAACAGATGATATAATTAAACTTAACGCATTAGCTTTCGACAACACAATGTTAACTCACAAGGTGAGGCGGAGCAAAATATTGTTATCAAAAGGATAAAACGACGCATCGCAAACAATTTTTTCGAAGGTTATCAAGTACGGTCAAAATATACATGTAGAATAATATAAATGAAAATAATAAATAAAGTGACAGGCACGATTACGATAACTGTGACCCCCTATTTGAAAGGTCGTTTCTGAAGACATATTTGACGAGGAACACGGGAAAATAGTAAAAAAAATTTCCGACCCATAGTTTTCGAGATGTATCACTTTAAAGTATTGGACATGATAATAAAACGTTACAAAACGGACCAATGACCTTGACCTTGACATATGTTATGAAGATCACTGTCGCGAGTATCTTCCATGTGTAGCTTAGAATCGTATGTACTACCAATGTCTTGCGTTGTTTACGTTTTTTGAATATAAACAAAAAATTCTCATTGCTCTTACTATTAGTAGATGCTTGTATTCAGTTTTCGAAAGTAATCAGTCACATTCATAATCTCACATTATATGCAACGACATTCATCCTCGTCTTCACCCGAAATTGGCAAATTTTTCTATTTTTTCTTCGTTTCACGACATCATTTCTGTGAATGAAATCGCGCAAGTCTTTCTCGAAGAGATGAAAGTAATTCCATCATCAACATCAACACCACCCACTTGTTATGGATTGCCAATGAAAGTCGAAAAAAAGTCTGCGTCGAAATTGAAGTGGATATGGCGCTGCTCAGCTAAACAGCGAAAAAAGAAGAAAGGATTGAAATGTTGTCGCAAATGCCTTATTAATCGGATAAAAGAAAAAAAATTAGATGTGTCAAATAATATAAAAAAATAAAAATAAATAATAAAATAATATAAGTTACAATAAAATCACTAAAGATAAAAACAGCGCAAACAATTGTTGTTAAGAGTCGTAAATAGTAATATCAAATGTATAAAATATAATGCACAATAATGTGTATGCAAACATCGATGCTGTGATTAACCTTTAGGAAGTTTTTCGATCGCAGTAACATAAGTCTCATGTAAGCACTCCGTATCCGTCTGCAAATTCAGGCTACTCTTTTGTCTTTTTATGTATAGCATTTCGGAAATAAGGCGTTTATTAAAATGAGATTCCTTATCCAAGACCTCAACTTCATTCCATCTAAACTCGTGATTATAAGACAATCTATGATGTGTTATGACCGAATGACTGGATGTATTTCTTCGTATGTGATTACGATGTTTGTTAATCCTTGTTTCTAATTTCCTACTTGTTTGGCCCACGTATGAGGCATCACAATCATTACAGTTAATTTTATAAACTACGTTACTAGTAGATGGTTTCGGTAAACAGTCTTTATGCACCTTAATAAACTGATGCAGTTTATTGAGGCTGAAATACGGTGGTTTGACGTCGACGTCTTTAACAATATTTTTGAATTGTTCGGATATGGACGGAACAAACAGAATTGTAAAATACTTGAAATTTGTTTGTGTTTTAATTCTATAAAGAGAATCTGTCTATAACATTTCTATAAATACGAGATTAATTTTATGATAAGTACTATTTCAAATTACAAATCCTCACAAATTGAGTTGCTTCTAAGTACTTGGCTAGTTAACTATTGATTTCGCTTTAATTTTTTATTTCTTAGGAGTTTCTTATTTTGTAGGGAAGAATTTTTTATAAGTTATTTTTTTAGATATATACTTGGCGTATTTTTTTATCTTTGTGAATTTCTTTTTAGTTGGATATCACTGTTTTTTATAATTATTCTTAATTTTTATTAGTATATTAGTATATTAAAAAATCACACGAAATTAATATCCCATTAAAAATATCTCACAAAGGTAAAAAAAATATGCCAAGTACATATCCAAAAAATAACTTATAAAAATTTTCCCCTACAAAAATAAAAAACTCCTAAAAAATAAAAAATAAAAACTAATAATGAAATCAATAGTTAACTAGCTAAGTACTTAGAAACAATTCAATTTGTGAGGATTTGTAATTTGAAATAGTATTTGTCATAAAATCAAACTTGTATTTATAGAAATGGTATACACAAATTCTCTCCATAAAATTAAACCGCATTTTATTTTTATTAACAAAAACCTGATTTTCAAAATAAGTTCAATACAAATAAAAAAATACTAAAAAATTTTAATTAAAAAAACTTGGCACTGCTAAACTAAACATAATGCTAAAATTAATATATTCTTTAATACATTTACATTGCAGCTATTATGATATAACTGCTCTCGGGATAAGCTATAAAAATATGTAATGAAAAAATACTTTATTATAGTGTTTTGGAAAGCTCTCGAGGTAAGCTACAAGAATATGTAATAAAGAATGGGGAGATCCATTTAAGAAAACATCGACCACATTGACCTGACCTTGAAAAGACCACTTAAGGTCAAATCCATATTTTTATCATGTGGCCCCCTCGAAACCATGTAACTTTTGTCTGAAACATTTTTTGATAACTCACTTCGTTTCCGAAAAATATGCCCGCGTCACTATAAATGCCGCACCCTGTATAAAATGTGAATAGAAATTCGAAAAGTGTTGTTAACACCAACGATATCTTATATGTACTTACATAACTCTCATCAAAAATCTGATTTATATTTTATTCAAAATAAACAATGCATTCAATTTCTTTATCTATTTACAAAAACGGAGATTCTGTGTTGTTGGACATGGACAATTACTTATTTTAATGTTATCACCAAGTCAATTCGATAATTATAATACTCAAGATCCATTATAAAAAATGAATAAAAAAAAATCAAGTTGGGATCTCTGTAAGAATTTATTGGGTTACTAAATGTTTAAAATCAATAAATTAAAAAATTAAATTTTCCAAATTTTTTTTTGATTTTTTTTTATTGATGTCAGAATTACATGAACTTTGTTGGTAACTTTTAAGGTGCTGATGGCTTGTAGAGTTGAACGATAGAGTAAGTTTCTGAATTAGATACAAACTTCGTTGTAACCACACTTGGATTGTTTGGAATCGGAGCGATGAAATGTATCATTTGGGTCCCTTTTACAGTTTTTGATCGAGAAGATCGAGCATCTAATTTGACTTTTGAATCCAAATATCGTTCATTTTCAATAAAAACAAAAGTAATCGTAGATAGATTTTTTGATACCCATTGATATAGCTGGAGTGGAGTTAGTATCTGAGAATTTGTTTCCATTTGTAAGCAGGCTTTTCTTATCAATCGTTTTATTGAACCAGCCAAGCCATGACATGGTCCTTTGCCATGAGCAGTTGCAAAGAAATTCGATTCTGCTGTTATATGAAAGTCCTCCATATGATAACATAAATTTGTGAATGCATTTCGATTTTTGAACTGTTGAGGTGCTCCGTCTGAAAAGTAATAAATCTTCTGCACCTGACCAAATTTTTGTTTCATAAAAAAAATTAATTGTTCTTGGAACATGTAAACTGATACGTAATCATGTTTAAGACAGTCTGATACGCCTACAAAGCTACAATGTTTGCTTTTACCATTCTCACAATAATAAATGACCATTGGCAATAATGTTGCTTGATCATTATTATAGTGAAAAGCTTGCACAGACTCTTGCACTATAAAGGCATAATTTTCGGCAAAATCTAACGTCACGATATATTCTCCTTTTTTTAAATTCTGCTTCAAATTAGCATAGTATGTGCTTTGTGCTTTTGCTGTATAATCATGTATCAATAAACTTTTCAATTGGTGAATTAAATTATCGATAAATTCATCGATTTCTGAAATTACTGTGATCATTGTACAACGATCTGTTGATACCCATTTTTTAAATATTACTTGCTCTAGATTGGCATCAGCACACAGTTTTTCAAAAAACTGTTTTATTTCATGACTATCGGGACATTTTTTACACAACCGATTGTAGCACAATTCCGAAGGTTCATCGCACATCAATTTTTTTAAGAGATTGGCATATATTGAATTAGATTTTTGAATCCAACCGTTGTTTTCAATTAAAGTTGAAAATTTAATACCTATTAAAAAAAAAAGAATTAAAAATGTTTTATTAATTTTATATTTTTTATATATTTTTTATATGAAGGACCACAAGTATGATTAAAATTTTAGTGAAATTGGATAATATTTACGAGAAAAATATTATGTTTTGGTATGGGATTAGAAATATAGTATCCAAAAATAATTCGTGACTACTGTGAAGAAAAAAAGATTTAAATTATCATAGTATTTTACCTTCTAACATGAGTTTCATATTTTGATGAGTTATACACACACACACAGTATGTGTACCACTACTCCCAGCTATTACACAGTGCTGAGTCTTAAATCAGCAAATTTTGAAAACTGAATCTTTGCTGCTGGATACTCGGTTTTAAAACTTGCGTATAACTCGCGTAAGTTACTGAGGATTAACCGTTTTTGTTTTAGCTCTCGAGTACCATCACTTTTTTTAACGGATTTCACATCTCTCATCCCTGCCATTTGCCTTGAATTCAAATCATCTTCGTAAAAATTCATCACTAGTTGTTCAATTTCTCGATCTAATGGTTGATTTCCACGAATTCTAAGGCAAGCTTCTCCGGCATTTCTCGCAGCATAAGCAGTAGACTTTGAACAATTCATCTCAGATACTACTTTATTTAAACTCCAACTTTCTGGCAAAATTGTTAGCAGCTTTAACTGAAAAGACCTATTGAAGATTGTCAACACAATGTAAATCTATGAACAGAACTGTAAAAAGCCGTGAACGACAAAAAAGTCTGATTATATAATTACCTGTTAGTTTCAACTTCATAAATTCGTTCGACATTATTTATCATCGATTCGTAATCTTTAAGCAACTCATCTGAACTAGTTTGCGGTAAAATACCAAACTGAGCATGAATTTTGGCATTGACAGCTGCATGAATTTCATCAAATTTTTTGTTAAAATACTTAGGTCTATCCAACCTATAAAATATGAGAAAAGACATAAGTTGAGGCACTGCTAGAATTAAATGCTTGAATATTTGTTACTTTTGAATGTAAGAACACTATCATACCGTCGTTTTTTGACAGGACTTATACGTAATAAATTTTCCAACGAATGGTCATCATAGTCTTTTAATGAATCACTAAAGTTACTTGTAGTGCTGCCAGATGCTGGCGTCAAAGTTAAACTTGCACTAGCTTGACTTAAAACCTCATCTGTAGTTAATTCTGTTGGTGCTTCGTAGGATGCAACACGCTTTCTACATGATGCACATAATTTGCTGGTTTCATCAGCGTCGGGAAACTTGTATAAGTCTTTCACAGGAAACGGACGTAAATCACTCAGTTTGGCAGCTAAAATAAAATAGATGTGAAGGTTATGTTGTATATGTAGACATTCAATGAATAAAATATTATACTTACTGCATGCCGGATCGTTAGAAAACGGGTTGAAACACGTTTTTGTTGGCATTTTGCGTTTGTTCATTTTAGACAAATTAATAATTAAACTTAAATACAATCAATTTTCACAATGTTTTTTGAAGAACTATCGACAATTGTACTGTCAACGTTATATTATTGACACTCCAGTAATAGAACGCTAACATATGGTGGAAACAACGAAATATTAGCGACACCCTACGGTATGCTGCTGCACTATTGAAGGCGCCATCACAAAGTAAAAATGACCGGGAATTTTGAAATAGAATATATTTCTATTTCAAAAAATGATTTTAAATTTTCAGCGACAATACACAATGTGAAATAGATAACTTTTATCGTGGTATGCAAAATTCTCTTGGAATCTTTGTCATAAAGCACTAGTAGTAAAAAAAAAAATCGAAAAAAATTTGGAAAATTTAATTTTTTAATTTTTTGGTTTTAAACATTTAGTGACCCAATAAATTCTTACAGAGATCCCAACTTGATTTTTACGTATTCTATGCGAACGTGATCGCAGACATGCAGGCCCAAAAGTGGTACTCGATTTGGTGGAATCTCTCATATATATATATATATTCATAAAAGCACTTTTTTCACTTGTTATTTAGCCGTGCCTGAGCGCGCAAAATCTTAGCCCTGTCATTTGTAAAATATAATCGCTTCCCGTTTAAAAACTATTATAGCCTCGACATTTTTGTATTAGGATTTTCGTCTTGAAATATTCCTCTTAATGACAGATTCCTTAGAATATTTCAAGACGAAAATCATAATACGAAAATCGTCTTGAAATTTAGGACATCCTATATACGGGGTGTCCTAGACCACCCGTACACCCTTTTTCTTTCAAAAAGTAAGCATTTTAGAGAAAAACGTTTTAAACAAAAATTGTATGGTTTTGAGGGGGCCATTAGATGATACCATTGGATTGGCTAATCGGTTACGCTGATATTAGCATTTTCAGCCAATAATTATCGGCATGGACAATGAATATGCCGAGTATCGATGCTCGGCATGTAAAAAGACAATAAAAAATCAGGTGATGACATGCAAGTCTTGTTATCAGGTAAATCGTATTAAGCTATTTTACCATCCAGTATGTGTAAGCAAGCATAGGATTTACGATAGAAACCGAGAATTGATACCGTGTTCTGGTCCATTTGACAGATTTACAATTGAAAGTGAAGCAAATATGAAGAAGGCATCGGTAGTGGCAGCAGGAACAGACTAGGATCTACAGGATCTATTAGTTCGTTTACGACGCCAAGTGATGGAAATAGAATATCACGAGTGAGTGATCATTGACTATTGATGTAAAAATAGATTGGCTGGTAAAAATTGTAAAAGAAATAATAGATGAAACAGCATGTAAGAAGGAAATTAAAATAATGGTCAAGGAAATAATTCGAGAAGAATTCGGAAATGTTAAGCAGGAACTACTAGAAGAGTTGAGAAGAATGATACAGGGTGAAGTATGTGGATCAACAGGAGGAAGTGAAGCGGTTAAAGAGAAAAAGAAAGAAAATATTATATTATAATTATCAAATCTAAGATTCAACAAGAGAGTGAAGTTACAAAAAAATTGATAAAAGAAAAAGTAGGTATCAAAAACATGGTGATGGGAATAACGAAGCTAGAAAAAGGAAGCAAGGGAACAGTGATCATAGATTGTGAAACTGGAGAAGAAATGAAAAAGTTGAAAGCCACAGTGCAGGACAAACTGGGAGAAAATTTCAAAATTACGGAATCACCGCAAATGAAGCCCAAAATAAAAATTATCAATGTCAGCGAAGAAGAAATGAGGTTGGGTAATGATGACTTAATAACTACATTCAAGAAGCAGAATAGAATTGATGCAATAAATGATCGATTCCAAATGCGAATAGTGAAGAGAATAATTAAAGAAAAGAGAAATGATAATAATCAACATAGGAGAAGAGAAAAAGAAGAAGGTTTGATAATAATTGAAGTAGATGAAGAAACGCATGCATTGATATTGGAAAAAGAGAAACTAAATATAGGATGGAGAAAATGTCCTATATTCAATCACATTAATGTTCAAAGATGTTTTAAATACTAGAGATACTATCATATTGCAAAAAATTGTCCGCGAGACGAAACATGTCACAAATGCAGGAAATCATAAAACGATTGAATGTACGGCGACAAAGAAAAAATGTGTAAATTGTATGTTTAAAATTCGAACATGCAACCTGAAGATAAGTGATGAACACGACGCCCTTAGCCCGGAATATCCAACATTTAAAAGGGCAATATAGGAGGAGAAGAGGAGAGCCGCCTGGGAGAATAGCAACTACAGAAGGAAGCGGAAACAATATTGTATACAAATGCGCAAAATTTGATGGCGCATAGAGACGAGATACAACATCAGATTATGAAGCAAATAAATCCGGCATTCATAGCGCTATCAAAGACTAGAATGACTGCTGAAATTGAAGACAATGAAGTGAACGTACCGGGTTATAGTATAATTAGATGTGATGCTGAAAATAGAAATACAGGAGGGGTTGTTTTATATGTAAGGGATGATGTTAGATATGAGGTAGTATTAGTGAAAAAATTAGAATCGAATTGTTGGTGCGCTGCGATTGAAGTGAAAGAAAAATTGTATAGAGGAATAATAATGGTAATATATCATTCACCGAGTGCATCGCATGGTGATTTCGTGAGATTTCTGGAGGATATAATAGAAGAGTTAATAATACGGGGAGAATGTATGATAATAGGAGACTTTAATATAGATATTATGTTAGATTCGTTTTATACAAGGAAGTTACAAACGACAATGTTGAGCTTAGGCATGAAACAATATGTAAATAAACCGACGAGAATTACGAAAGATAGTAAGATAATTATAGATTTAATTTTCGCTAATAATAAAATAGAAGTGCAGGTTATTCATGAACCTAAAATAACGGACCATACGTGGCTAAAAGTCGAACTGAATGCGAATAAAATTGATAATAAATACAGAGAACTTTGTGTTAGGAATAAGAAAGTTATGGAATAGGAATAGGAATAGGAATAGGAATACAAATAGGTATATAGAAAGTTTAATATACAATAGATGAATTTATTAAATTAGTTGAAATTAAATTAGGGAAAAGCCAAGATATGGATGTTAATGCGAGAGCGAAGAAATTTGTTGATAGTATAGTAAATGCGTTGGACGCTACAGCACCTAGGAAAAATTTCAGAATTCCGAGAATATGGAGAAAAAAAAGTGGTTTTCAGATGAAATAAGAGAAGCAGTGGCTAAAAGGGATGAGGCATATAGGAAGGCATTGTATGCTGACACAAAATTGGTTGCAATTTCAAATTAAAAGAAATGCAGTAGTTAAATTAATTAGGACAAAAAAGAAAGAATGTTATGAAAATATGATAGATCTTAATAAAGAAAATCCTACATCTATGTGGAAAACACTGAAAGAAATAATTAGAGGTGAACCAGTAGGTAAGAAGGAAGTAGGGGATAGGTTTTGAAATATTAGACAGCACTGAAAGATGCAATATAGCAGATAAATTTAATTTATATTATATACAAAGTATTAATAGTATAGTAAAATCTATAAATGGGAGAAAGCCTGGGAGTGCATGTAAAAGAATTATTTATGTTATTGAAAATGAGGGAATTATGGAAAATTTTGAGATGATTAGTATAGAGCATTTACAGGAAATTGTTATTGGACTACCGAAAAAGAAAGGTACAAAGGAGGGTATAACTAGCGATATATTAAAGGCAGTGTTTTGCGTAATAAAAGAGGAATTTATTGATATAATAAACTCTTTGAAGGAAGATTACTGTCCAGAAGGTTGAAAAACGTCTAAAACTACTCGATAATATCGAGTCCAAAAATAGAGAAAGCTAGAAAAGGAAGTGAATTTAGGCCTATTAATATATTACCAATATTTGAAAAAGTGTTAGAATTAGTAGTTAAAAAACAAATTGAAACGTATTTGGAAGATAATTGTATTATAACAGGGCATCAGTCGGGCTTTAGAAAACAGTATTCGTGTGAAACAGCGATTTAAAGTCATTGATGAATGGAAATTGATAGTTAGTGAGGCAAAAATAATAGGGGTAATTTTCATGGATCCTAAGCGAGCCTTTGAAACAATAGATAGAGAAAGATTATTAGAAAAATTATATCAATACGGAATTAGAGGAGTGATTTTAGTATGGTTAAGATCATATTTAAAGAATAGAATACAGCAGGTTCAATTTAACAATAAATGGTCTAAATTAATGGTCACAGAATATGGAGTACCACAAGGATCTGTATTAGGACCTTTGTTATTTATAGTATATATAAATGATATAATCAAGATCTGTCCAGAAGGATGTAGTATAAAAATGTTTGCAGATGATACGTTAATATATGTATCTGAAGAAAGCAGCGCGGAATTAGAGGGCAAAATGAATATGTTATATTTACTATAATAGAAGAGTGGATGAATATAAATAGGTTAAAAATGAATGCAGGGAAAACGAAATATATGATAGTCAGAAGTATAAGAAAAGAACTGCGAGGTAATATTACATTGAAATGTTTGAATGGAACTAAAATAGAACGTGTGGAAATAGTGAAATACCTCGGTATAATTATAGACTACGATTTAAGGACCACTGTGATTATATGCTAAAGAACATAGGGAAAAAACGAGTTTTTTGAATAGAATAGGTAATTACATATCGGCATACACTAGATGTATATAAGACAATTATAGCGCCTGCCACTTCGAGTATTGTGCGACGTTGTTAATTGATATGGGAGAAACACAGCTGAGTAAATAGCAGAAAGCACAAAACCGGGCCATGAGGGTCATATCGCAATACGATAGACATACCAAAGTGGAGCGTATGCTGCAAGCGCTGCAGTTTATGCCCATAAGACTGATGCTATACTATAATGCGTATATTTATTTTTAAGATTTTAAGGAACATGTTACCCGAGCAATTAAGAAATAGATTAGAAATAGTGAGAAATGAGAGTGAAAAACAAACACGACAAGCTGGAGATATTGCAATAAAATATTGCTGAGCAAGGAGTGCGCAAAAGAGTATGTTTAACGGAGTGAAAATATATAATGCCTTACCAGCTGAAATAAAGGGAAATGAAAGAATTGTGCCGTTTAAGAGAAAGTTAAAGGA